CACTAATGTAACATTCTAAACCTGGGGCCCTATTCCTAGCCATGAGCCTGGATCACAGCCAGACCTGGGACCTGCCAGGCTTGGGACCCACACATACAGTGGAATATTATTCAGCAATTAGAAAGAATGAAGTACTGATATATGCCACAACATGGATGAACCTTGAAAACATGCTAAGTGAAAGAAGCCAGTCATGAAAGATCATATACTTTATGAATCCATTTATATGAAATGTTTGTAACAGGCAAATCAGACAGATTAGTTATTATTAGTTATAGATCTATTAGTTATATATTAATTACTGCCTAAGTCTTGGAGGGAGTTAGGGAGAGTGACTGCTAATGGAATGGAATTGCTTTTGGAGGGATGAAAATGTTCTCAAATTAGGTTGTAGTGATGGCTGCACAACGCTGCAAATGTACTAAAAACCATTGAATTTCATACTTTAAGTGGGTGAATTGTATTACCACACATATTATATTTAAATGAAGCCATTTATAAATATATAATGAAATTCCGAGTACGATTGATACATATCATGATTTCAAAATCTGAAAAGGGAAAGAAACGTTAATTTTTCCATTACATCTTATTTTATCATTTTGACAATACCTGTTTTCCTTAATAAAGCTTGAAGTAGGTAGCTATTTATTGCATTTAAAATTTAGTCATAAATTTTTCTAATTTCTAACAGTATATTAATGAATAGAAAGTCAATATAAAATAGAAATATACTTTTTCATCCCTCCCCCCCAAAATTATACAGAATAGGCTAAATACATATATAGTTCCTTGGCATGGTTGGAAAGAAAATATTCTAAGAATACTTTTTTAAAACAAAATTTCTTCTTTTATTTGTTCAAAGTTCTCCATAATGTAATTGTTACATGGACTGCTTTTATATATGACATATACATACTGGAATTGACAGAATCTCTAGGGCAATGTTCTTTGAATTCAGTGATATCTGAGATCACACTTAGCACTACTTACCAAATTATTCATTATATTTTGCTTAGAGTAAGATTTACAGTAAATGTTGTAAATGTTGGTTGACAAATATGAGGTTATGTGGTTTGGCAGTCAGAAATCTGTCAGATGGTTTTGCTTAGATCTCGTTTTCTTTAAAAAAAAAAAAAAAAATATGTTCAGCGTCTTCAAATTACCAAATACTTTCCAGTCCTCTTTCTTTACTCTTCCATGGCACACTTAAAACTCACTCCTTAGTGGCAGCATTTTTTTTCTTAGCCTTCATTCACCTTCCTCTTCCTCTTATCTCCCTGACCTTTCTTTCCCAGCCTCCTGTACTGGCTGTTCTTCCTTTGACTTTTAGACAGTGGTGATTCTGAGAGTTCCTTCCTTAAGTTCAACTCTTTTCATTTCTGTGTCTTCTTTGGAGATCTCATCTATTGTTACGACTTCAGAGTGCAATTCGTAGAGTCGGTGATAAACCACAAGTATACATCTTTACAACTTATGTCTTTAGTGAATTTCAAAATTTTAGCTGCTTGGTTAGAATTTCTACGTTTCTAACTAAGAAGCTAAAAATTTCTCTAAAACATCTCAAGTTCAAAATGTCCAAAAATCAATTTAACCTCAAAATGTGTTCTTCCCTCTGTGTCACATTGTCTGTTAATAACGTTACCATCATTTCCCTTATCAATTAAGGTAGAAAGCTGAGATTTTTATCCCATAGCAAAGTCCTATTTGATTTCTCCTTCTAGATATCTCTTGAATATGTGTTCTCTTCCTCCTTATAAAGCCTATTTCATGCTCTTATCATTTATCACTGAGCTGTTTATTATCTATCCACATTAAACTCAAGGAGTGTCTTTTAAAATATTGATTTGCTTATCAAATGCTCTTGTTTAACTTAAACTCCTTCATAGACACCATTAATCACCTCAGGATAAAAGCCAAAGTCCTTGAGAATGCTCCTCAGAATCTGGCATATGACTAACTAGTTAAGCTTATATTCCATTAGTTTGCCAGCCATTCTGGTATACTTTTCATTCTTTACCCATGCTATTTTTTGATTTGCTTTTGTTGTTTTTTATTAGTTTACAGCTAACTGAATTTCACTTGCCACAGTAGCTGGTTCAGAACTGTAGGCCATGCCAGTCAGCACATTCTCCTAACTAGAGGAGTCCTTCAAAAATTGGCATGTGATTCAATTCAGGATATTAGGACAAAAAGAAAGATTTGCTTGGATTCTCTTTGGAAAAAAGTTTTCTTCCCCTTAGGAGAAAACTATAGGAAGAGCCATCCTCTCTTCTGCTAGATGTTCTAGTCAAAGATCTAACCTAGAACAGCTACAGCTATTCTGCATCCATCTAGGAAGGCAGCCTAAGGATGCAGTCAAAGCACAGAGGAGGGTGTAGTTGAGCATATCTCACAGAAGATGATCAAGAGCCATTGGCTTAAACCAATCCTGAAGTCCATGCCCCTTCTGGACTTCCAGATATGCAGGCTATTAAATTTCTGATTTATGTCAGTTTGGATCAGTTTTTCTGAAATTCGCAGACCAAAGCCTCCAAACTGATAAATAAACTCTTTTTTAAAAGTTCAAGGGTAGGTAAGTGGAAGAGGGTGCAATAGATATGCAGA